TTCCGTATAAATTACGGTTCAAAAGCTATCGTAAATTTTGTAATTTTTTTCTCATAAAAAACTATAAAATAACAAATAATCGGATTTTAGCAAAAAAACTGGTTTTTATTAAAATAATGTGTTATACTCCTTATAACTCTAAACAAAATAGTGCAACCCCCACATTGCTGTAACAATTACGGTTCAAAAGTTATTGGAACTTTTGCGATTTTCCTTCAATAGCTTATTGATCAGCTTCGTACGTGTTATTAAATTTACGGAATGTAAATAAAAGAAACGTCTTATAACACTTAAAATCACTCAATCAATCAATTTTAAGTGTTATAAGACGTTTCTTTTATTTACTTTCCATGATTTTCCTTAAAAAATATCATAATTACTCCCACCGCTTAAAGGTTGTTGACAAGCTTATGTGAGAAATATGTGTCAGATTGCTGATCCCGTTTATTACAAATTTAATTTAAACATTGTCAAATCTCACTTAAGAGAGACTAATCATCGTTTCACTTTCTTAGTTTGGTTGTAGCATGAATCATCAAAAGCGTATGATTAAAAACACCATAAGCTAATTGACTTTCTCATAAAACCCCTATAAAATAACAAAAAATCAGACTTTAGGAAACAAGCTGGTTTTGATTAAAATGATGTGCTTACTGTTCCACTTATGTAATTTTAGTCAATATGCTAACCTAAAATTTAAGTAATTACTATTACACTTTATTTGTCTTCTGTTAAAACAATAAGGATTGCCATCAGTGTAATAATTGTAACTAAATAATTAAATTAAAAAAGTAATAAAAACCAGTTGTAAAGCTTCAAGCTTACTTCATCAAATAAAAGTCTATTCCTAAAACGATTAAAACGACTAAAACGATGTTTGAACGATTAAAACATCTGTAAAGATATTCAAAATTATTGGCCAACGCTCAAACATAATTTTCTTGAATACATATTTCGTAGGTTATTAGCGTCAGTCATAATCAAAACTTTTGTTGAATTTTTTTTATCTTTTACAACTTTTTTAATTTTTTACGCATTCAAAGTGGTTTGACTGTATAAAAGTACATCATCATATCTTAATCGTATCCATAAAGTTAAGAATACGTTTTAATAAAGTTTACAAAGTCGGTTACGTACCTAAAGTTATAAACACAAGGTTCCTACATCCACCATAACAGAAGGTAGTTTGAAGTTTCGCCAGGGGATAGCACCACTGTAGACCCCAGCTTGTTTGTATTCGATGATCCTAACCTAACAATTATTGAAATACCAATAATGTATTAAACTACCAACTATTTACAAAACTGTTGTTTTAATTCGATGATATTCACAAAATACTTGCCTTATGTTGAAAATTTTGATCCTTCGTTTATTCCTTCACTTTTATGAAACAGAAATTGTCATTACCGTGCCTTAAATTACAATTAAATTACAATGTTACCTTACAAATACCGTGCCTCAAACAGCTTCCGAACTTAAAGTAACCTTCCCTTCTTCTTCCAAAAGTAGTTATATTTTACATGGAATCATTTCCCTAAGTGTGGCGGAATGTGTCTCTGAAGCCAACATTGGGTGAAAACTTTCGAAATTGTGGAATATGCTCAATTATTTAAGATCTCTATCATTAGGTTTAGTTGAAAAAAAAAAAATTAGAAGATTGCCTATTGGTATTGTGACAGTTAACCAGTCTCACAATAAAATGACATCTCTGTTTAGCACAACTTAAACAACTGTTTAGCACAAAAGCAACATTGTTCTATTACTTATTCACATCACATATTGTAAATGAACAATTGTACCACGAGTCTTCTAAAACAACTTCAAACATAATTATGTTTTTAGCGAATTTCCCCTATAGGGAATAAGCTATTACCGTAGTACTCATGGTAAGCAAAAAAATTTTCATTCCCATTTTTGACCCTAAAAACCTAAGCATTTTCTTTTTCTAAACCTTTTGTAGAGCTTAAAATAACAAATAATTCAGTACATTAAAGCGTTATTATGCGCCTAATAGTTACGGAGAAAATTAAAAAAAAACTGTAAATTTAAAATTCCAATGTTATTCTTATGGAGAATAAGTAAACTGTTGTAGTTTGCTTGTTTATGATCATATTTTGATCAAATTTGGAAAATGGATTCATTTCATACTAAACTATTAACATTTTACAAAAAACACCTTTTTACCCTCCCTGATGCAGCAAACCTAAGTACCATATTATTTAAATAAGGAATAATTGTAATATTTTTAAGGAGACATTTTAGTGTAAATCCAAATCAGGCAAATGGAAATTTGCTTAGTCTGCAGGTTTGCTTCGGCGGGGGTATTTTACATATAAAGCTGTGTACGTACATAATAACATGTGTGAAAGCATTGTTGGGCAAACATTTATTTCAGAGCTGCCAACCCAAAATATCCAAACTTTAATTTCTCACCACCCTTTAGTTTTTATGATTTATTTTTTCGTATCCAAGGATATGAGGGTTTTTAATATTATTTATTACTAGCATTCTTTATGTGAGTTTATTTATTAATTAGACCATTTTAAGTTAATAAATGAGAAATTAAATAGTAAAAAATGCGCGAAGGATTCATACGCTGCGGTTCGGTGCTCTTAACTGTACATCTATATTTTGGTCTAACTATGCCCATCCAAAATCCTACTAATGATTTATATAATTGTTTCCTTGATTTAACAATTTTCTTGAATATATTTTAGGTCAAATATCAAATAATAAGTTGGGGTGGTAGGTGTCAAAAACTGAAATTCTCAGCAAAAACGCTTTGAATAACCTAAAATTTACTATAAAAATTAAATATATCAAATAAAACGCCTTAAAGTGCTATGAATTATTGTTGCGGAAATTCTTTAGCATGACCACTTTCATTCTGAATGATTTGAGACTAAAACCACTAAAATCGGTGACACTGGTGTCACTCAATAACAATTTTTGTATTTTTACGTCACTTAGACCCTTTTTAGCCCTTTACTGGGTGAAGCAAGCGGAGGAAGTGAGGGGAATTTTCAGAGAATACTTACCTAATGACATACTAACACCACACCAAAAATCAGCTAGTTATTAATTTGTTCTATTTTTTTACCTAAAGTACCTGGGCTATTAGTATCTCTTGTGTCAACGCAGCTTTGGGATGGCACTTAACCTATAAGTGAGTGTCTTTGAGTCTTGTTGAGTGTCTTTAAGCTTCAGTTTTACATTCAATCCATACTATGTTGATTCCAAAGCTAGACTAGAGGCAAGGCTGATTGAATGTTTACATATCGTGCGCATCAACTCATCCGCAATCACGGACGTTCAGCGCAGCCATGTCGTGTTAATAATGAATTGCGAACAGATGACATGGCGCAGTCCATTTATAAATGATTACCTTAAAATGACTCGCAACACGTTCATGGGATTCAACGCATAATGGGTGTTTTATTGGCGCCAATAAAAATTACATTGTTATAAATTATAGTGAACCTTATTTTAACGGTTTTTATTGGAGAACAATTTTATCAAATGCGGCCTATGTGTTGGCTTAATGTATAAATGGTCAGTTAGAAATATTGTTGAGATTTGTGATTGAAATTATCTTTCCTTCGTTTATTTATTTCTATAGTTTAAGGTCCATTATATGTTAATTGACAATGATAAACATATACAGGGTGACAAAAAAGTCTGGAAACGGTTTAATATCTTTTTAACTAAATCCGTTGGAAAATTCAAACCTTTCACATCAACTGACATGTATGAAAACTACTTTTTCCAAGCATTATAATTTTTTTACCTCTACTAGGGGACGACCCATGAGGAGTAGGTACACAATCTTTAATGTAAGCATAGGTTGATATGCACATAATTTTAAAGGTCTGGTCAAGTGGAGATCATTGCCGGAAACCGCGTCAAAAAAAGTTCATCCGTTACAAAATGGCGGCTGTCCAAAGTTGTTTTCATACATGTCAGTTGATGTGAAAGGTTTAAATTTTCCAATGGATTTAGTTCAAAAGATATTAAACCGTTTCCAGACTTTTTTGTCGCCCTGTATATTTCACTTTACACTAGGTAGGTTTTCACTTTACACATAAAAAATGGAGAAACGTAATGAAATTAAAGGGGAAATAATATAATAGCATGTAACCTGGTTTCAATCCTGATCTTTGATCAAATAAACCGATATTGCAATGAATAATATTGAAGGATATTGTGTATCATGATAAACCTATTTAAAGTCCAACACATACAATATTCTGATATAGTGTGGTTTCCTATCATGAGAAATATACATGGAACTATATTTTAAGGTGAAACGGAATAATCGTAGTTCTTATTTTCCAAATCAAACGTTCTAATTAATATTCTTCCAACTGTCAAGGTTTCCTCCAGTACATTGGACAAAAACAAACCAAATAAAACTTGAAAGAAATGACGTTTAAATAGCTTTTTGACTATTGATTGATCGGTTGGACATGTCATTGTATGTATTAGCGTGTGTGGTTTTTAAGGGACCAATTGATAGACTGTTAAATGACATTGATAACGATCTGGCGTGACTACTGTCAGGATGGGTAACTATCTCACTAGTGGCGCCAAATACTGATTTATTGGATATTCTGTTATGTCAACTTATATGTATATTTTATACCTAAAGTAGCCTATATTTGCCTTGTAACCATGTCGTTCACCGACTTGTCATGATTAAATAATTATCAACATAAAGTCCTTTCCGTCGAAAATAACAGAAATTTTAAATAGTCTTAAATCTTTTTGTGAGATTCACATTTTCCGATTGCAATAGTTGATGTACTATTGTGCTATTTTTCAATGATACATTCCATTCTACATGGATATAATGATTAATTTACTAGGTAAAAACTTATCTTACAGTACAAGGGTTATTTCAATGGACATAATTCAAAATAAATAACACAATACTATTTATTTTAACTTTTATTAATCGTAAAAGTTTGAGAATTGATGTACATGATATAATTTAATAAAAATTTACAAGATAATCAAATCCACAATCGCTAGGTTAACAGTAAGAAGATATTACATTTAACATGTGAAATACTTAAGTATGAGCTCCGTGATTGATAAGTACAATACAATAGGAAATACAATCTGCAGGATAAATTGGTGTTGGATACATTTTTTGTATTTGCTAACTAAATGATAAAAACTAAATATAAATACATATCACATCATATCATAGTTCGTCTACTTTAAAATAACTTACTCCACTTATCATGTTGCTGAAATAATAATAATAGTCTGAATATGGGTTTCACAAAATTAGTAAAAAAGTCTCTAAATTTTGAAAGCCATTCAACAAAATATAAATTAAAATAAAATACAACTTTATTCGTCTTCATAAATAATTAAAAATATTATTCTAAACATAATCATTCAACCCATATAGTTTATTTATGATTAAAAAAATTAGTAATAATTGAACATTTTCACATATCAAGGGTGTAAGGTAAATGATCTTGGAAAATGTATACCATCTTTGGAGATCATAGACATTCTACCAACTTATTGGGAAAGAAATCCTTAATCTCACAAAGTAACAATTCGATTCTGTTTTTCAAACTCAAATAATGAGGAAAACTGGGAGAGAACTTATTTTTTATATTTGTGCATGTGTTACTATTTGTATAATAATTCACTTAATTTGCCTAAAATATTGTAAACCGTTATAGTAAGTGATATGTTAAAATTTTCAACAATATAATCAATAAATTACGTTTAAACATTTACTTTCGGATATGTTCTACTAGATCCGACTTTTCTACAGATAATCGAGAGAATTTATACATCACTAAGGAAACTACTTAGTCTGAGCTACATTAAAAAGGCATTCAAAAGTCATGCAATGCCTAAAGATTAAATAATAACAACTTAATGTAAAATGATCACAGTTAGTTATACAAACATACGATTGCTTTTGTGAATATTTAATACTTAAATGTAACGAGTATGCTATACATTAAACCTGAAGTTTGAGGTGATCTATATTGAATTTACAATCTAAAATACTATTTCTACAACGCTTAAACTGTACAGGTATCTAGGTACAGCACGTATAAACAAACTTTGGTACACTAGACTCGTTGGAGCTAACAACAGCAACAAAAGTACAGTAAGTGGTAACAGAGATCTCACGCGGGTCACTCATCATCGGTAGGAACTATGGACAAACAAGGAATTCCAGGGCTAGGTGCTGACACGGATGGTCTCTACCTCGGCTATGTTGTTGTTTAAAGAAGATTCCTCTTTGTCTATCTTCAATTTGGCTTCGAATGTTGGAGAATCGAGATCCTTACGAGAAGAGAAATCAAAACCCTTGCTCACAACAAGGCCCAAAGGGTTGTCTTGATACCCGGACTTCCCCATTGTGTAAGGGAAGCTAGGATGTTCGTGAGGCGAGTCTCTGTAGGAGTCTAGTGTAAGTTCGGAGTCGTCTTCGTCTACTTGGTTGGTCGTGCTGTTGACGAGTTCCTGACTCGGCGGTGTAGTCGGCAGCTTAAACTGGCTGAGAAGATTCAGGTTCAAATTTGGTCCGAAATTCTCCATGTTGGAGTAAGTGACTCGGCCGACAAAGTTTCTTATGTCGACACAAGCGTCTTCTCCGTCGTTCTCATTACTGCTACCGGGGCTGTCTGCGACGGCCACTATCCCACTTCCGTCGTCTCCTTCGTGCTTTTTCAGATGACGATCCAGATTGGTCTGCTGGCCGAAGCAGCGATCACAAAGAGAACACTTGAAAGGCTTCTCCTTGTTGTGTATGTTACGAACGTGCCTTTGCAGATTGGAAGAGATGCTGAAGCAGCGTTCGCAATACTTGCATTTATATGGTTGTTCCCCAGTGTGAGTTCTCAAGTGTCTAGTCAGGTTGGCAGATCGCGGGAATTGCTTGCCACAAAACTTGCAAGCGTATCTGTCCTTCAACTTGTTACCGTTAACGCTATCTGGTTGTGGATTCAAAACCTCGTGGTAGGGTTTAGCGCCTCCTGGGAAATGTTGCATCGGTGGACGTAGCATATCTAAGGGAGCTCGTGGCATTCCTTGCCCGTTTGCTAGCCCGTTCACCATCGATGCGAAAAGGTTAATCCTCGAATGGAGTGGAGGAAACTGAGACGCCATAAATCTTTCGTGGTTTGAGTTTGAGTCTGGGGAGAAGTTTGGAAAAGCGTTGCGATACATATCGAAGCGTATAGATGGATGAGGGTGAATCGGTATAGGGCAAACCATTGATGGCATGACGTGTTTCTTCGGGGAGCCTAACGGTTTGTCTGGAGTAGGTGATCGCTGAGGAGGTGGTGAACTCATAAGCTCCGACTTGGGTCTTATAGCCAACATAGTCTTTGGAGAAGCTGGTGAAGTACTCGACCGATTAGGAGAGCTTGCTTCGTAATTGTTCGATATCAGAGATTTTTGAGCTGGGAATTCTGTCTCGTCATCTGTATCAACGCTATCGCTTTTATTAAATTTCTTTTTTGGAGATTCGACGACTTCCTTCTGGCAACGGTTTTGTTCAATCTCGTCATTGTCATCGTCACTCTTCCGCTTTCCTTCAACTCTCAAGTCCAAAGGTTGGTCGTCCCTGAGCTTCTCAGATGGATCTGGGGTGGATGCTTTGTCACTAGAAGAATGTCTCTCGTCACTGGAAGTAGATAAATCATGAGGCTCAGGCTGAACGTCTACAACATTGATTTCTGGATCAGGCAGGGAATCCTTCGGATCAGAGTAGGTGTTGGAGAGGGCAGGTCTTGCTGGTGAAGGCTTGGACACAGCTTCCTCAGCTACATTGGGAGATGCTTTGCTGAAGCTGAAATTAGGATGAGTAGAAGACGGTGGTGTAACACTACGTCTCATACCTAACTCGTGTTCTTTGTCTTTAAGAAGATTGGACAGAAGATGATCATCCGAGTGGTGGTACTGAGGAAATTTACCATTCATCAAGAAAGGATTTGGTTTCAACGAATGTTTGTCTTCCATTTTCAGAGATTGGGCAAGTAGTGAGTTGTTAGATTGATTCAGTGCCAATAAAGCCGCTGCGTGATGCCCTGAGAACATGGCAGGGTGGTGATACGGGGGAAGGATGGTGGTCGGAGGGTAGAAAGGAGGAGCCCGAGGATACATAAGGTAGGGTGAGTGGTTGTTGTGTGGAGGGATATGTGGCATCGTTCCAGGAGGTGGCGTCCTAGAACTCCCAGGATCGCAGAACCTCTTGTGCTTCGCTAGAGCGTTTGTGGTGCTGAAGTTTTGGTTACACCTGGCACACTTCACTTGTTGGCGGCATTTGCTGTGCATGCGCCTGTGTCGACAAAGGTTGGAGAACTGAGTGTACGCCTGGAAACAGAACGAGTAGTTTAGTACGTAGTAGTTTAATGCAACGTGTTAAACAGCGATATATCTTAATATGCTAATGCATTAATGGAGTAGACTTTATCTTTTGTGAGAGATAAATTCTTCTGTTAACTGGTTTCAAATGTATAAAATGATGGACTTACAAAAACTATTACCATTATTTAGAAAAAATAATATTTACTTTATTCAATTTTAAAAATATTACAGGTAATAATTTCCTTGGTGTTTGCCAATTATATAAGTCTAACTGGCCAGTGGAAAAAATGCACTGAAGAGGAACTATTTTAGTTACAATACTTTTAATTTCTGTTCTTAGTTTTCCTTAATGTTTAAACTCCGCCGTCTAGGTTTTATTGAAGCATGCCAATGATCTATACTATTTTACATGAGTACCTGATTGCGCAGGTAAGATCTTTAGGAAAGGGTTTTCTACGGGAAGGACTTAAGGACATTGATAAATGTTCATATGATATTATTTAACAACGAAAAGACTATGGAACTTCTAATATGTCTTGTGAGAGCCTAATTTCACTTAGGTCTTACAGCGTTTGTTATTAGACCCTTTTGGGACAAATTAATGAAGTTCTTTTGGACTTAGGAAAGGAAGACTTTGGAATTGAAAAGAATCACTGGTTTAGAAAGACTTAATACTTCAACATGAGACAACAATGGGTAAGGACTTGGGAATAAACTTAACGTTCACCTGAGTAGCACCAACCTTCAAGCAAACGTCGCACTGGAAGGGTTTGACGCTGGAATGGATGTGGCTGTGCTGTTTGAGCCCGGAGGACGATGCGAAGGTTTTGCCGCACTCGTCACAAGCGTGGCTCCTGGCTCCCACGTGGCTGGTGCGGATGTGCCGCTGGAGGTTGCTGCGGTCGGTGAAGACTGTGTTGCAGTTCTCGCAGGTGTACTTCCTACTGTGAGCGGCGACGTGGCGGCTCAGCCCCTGTTGGCTGCTGTAGGCCCGCGGACACTGTCTACACTTGAACTGACCCCGAGGGTACTGGTGGAACAGCACTAGGTGCTCGTCGAGGCTGCAACAGAAAGCGGTGTTGAGTAACTGTGATTTGGAAAATATTGTTTAGCCTTTGGTTACTTACATGTTTTGAACATTACATGAACGTTATATGAACATACATGAACATTAACAGAAACTTTTTTAGAATTATAGTCAAACTATAAAGCCTTCGCTGAGGAATCGGGTGTAGAATCACCGAATATAGTGAAAAATCTTCCTTCGCCCTTGATTATGTAGTAGAATTTATATGACAATACATGGAAATCCTGAAATCGTTATGAAAAATCATGTGCATAAAGATGACTTAACGTTGAATATTTTACTGAATAATTTAAAAAGTGTTGGCCTAAAAGATTTAGTCCTAACTCTAACATTATCAAAGAGTTTGCAATGTTTTCACGTAGACCCAGGTACCCAGAAGAAATTGTATAAAAAACTAGCAGAGTGCCTGACCTACGTACCGGAATAACGTGTATTAATTTGTTTAATACAGTTGCACCCGTGTTTCGCATTTGCAACAGGAAAAGGAGATGGGAGAGGAAAGCTTTGTTCTTTAAATTTACAGTTTGAATTAGTTACACATAAACTTCTGATTTTAGATTCAAATTTCAATTGTACAAAATCTTTTAAGTCTACTTCTTTTCATTTACGTAACTAGTCAAAAACTTATTAGGCTACTTAGTACAATAAACGAGCATCGATATATCAATGTTTATGTGTTGCATTGATTTGCATATGAAAAACCAGTATTTATATGATTTATTTTATTCTTTTTTAATTACAATGCCTTAAAAGTGCATGTATTTGAAACCTATAATTGAAGTCAATTAGTAAAAAGTTATTTAAAATACCTGGCACCTGTATTAGAAAAACATGAAATATAAATTAATCTTTTGGCGAATTTATCCAATCAATGTTAAATCATTATAGGCTTTGTTAGGGAATAGAGAAAATAAATTGTCAATATTGCAGCTAAAGATACTACAGTAAGAATATATTATTTGTACTAAATTGCCTATGAGTCGTAACTACTTTACCGCTTGACTTTACCGTTCTTCCCATCCACACAGATATAGATCCCAAGCAAGAACAAAAAAACTAGCGAACGATCACGCCATACAATCCTAGGGAAGCGGCAAGTTTCAAGTTATGTCAATTATGAGTGGTTTGAAGTGTGAACGTCGTGGGAAGCGCAAGGTGTAGGCGATGACGTTTTGACATGAAGGGTCTGAACAGTTGCCGCTGATGGAATAATACAGAGGGAGGCACCGTGACAATTAAATATTAATGTCTCGTGACGATAACACTGTAAGATGAAAACATGGGGGGGCATCACAGTGTGTGACTTAGCGGGGAAAGGGGAGGTTGATTCCGAAATTGTGCGGCTGAGATGCAAAAACATATTGAATGCTTATTAGAGCCTTTACTAAATTACACCGGTTTGCAGACGACTCATGAGTGTGTATGTCCACCTAAAAAGTCGTTAGAGCCTTAAGTATTTTAATTTGTTGAAGTATTTGTAACAATTTGGCAATTTTTTTCATTTCCTAGAGAACTATGTTTTTCTTTACCGACTCACTATAGGGCATTACGTATGGTGTACTATCCAGTGTTTTTCTTCATTTTATATTCATTATTTTCGGGTATGTGTATACATTTTCAATAGTTTCTTTTTTGTAATTAATGGCTAAACAAATAATTTCAAACAAGAATAATGGACATTAGCTAAGTCATAAAGTTTTGATTCCTTTAATATCAAAAAGCTTTTCACTGATTATTTATGCACATTGTCAAAAAAACGCATCTGGATAAAAAATTAACTCCTCTGAGGACGAAACCAAAACATACATGTTAGAAAGTAAGAACTATAAAACACACTATCCTAATAAGAAAGTCAATGTCTCCGAATAAAATAAACAATTTCCTTATTTTACATGCTTTTCATTCCATTACATTGAATATACATACATTTTATATTCTACCGCTACAACCGTATTCCACGAGAGGGAGGGAAGCCTTTTAACGTTAAAAAGCGCCGCACTAAATTTCAATGGCTGAAAGAATAAGAGACAAATGCGGCTTGGGTTGGGGTCAAAGAAATTCGCTCATCTCACATCTGACCTAAAGTGCGATGGCTTGTAGCTGCGACGCCCCACTGGGCACCACGGGGCACGAGGGGCATCCCCTACTACAGGGGCACGGGGCATCGCTGAGTGTCAACCCCACACTTGCCCATTACACTAGGTCATTTATTATCTCACTGATCACACCCTAGTCTTCTACATGTGTTGAGATTCATTAAAAGTTAAATGATTGTTAGAGGGGTAAGGATAGAAAAGGGTATTGTGATATTGATAATTGGTTTCTTTTGAAACGTATAATTTGGTTGTGGTTATGCATAAATTTGAGATAATTATCGTTATTTTTAAAGTTTGAGAAACTTGATCGGTCGAAAAATTAATATTAATATTAACATAAACTCTGATAATAGTTTGGATTGAAATATAATTAATAATAAAAAGCAATAGTGTCATAAGCATTTAGCCAAGAATTAAACGTAATTATGTACATAAAGGTTGAATATCCCAAACAAAATATTGATGGAGTTCGTGTTTCTAACTTGAGTTTAAAAGGTTGCAGAAGGTTTGCAAACTCGAACTAGATTTGAGGAGAGCACCTTAACTATTTTTTATACCAAAACGTTGTAAATTGGAGAATTGTATAAAGTTCCCAGGAAATATTTGTTATGACGCTATAATATGTGAATTGTCATTATTTAAGCTGAATAAAGATGCTCTCTAAATGGATATTTATAATTTCTAGTTGTATTTTCAAAAATATGCGTCTTCTAGCATTGACTTTACACACTTTCTAGACACACAAAACATCTCTAACTGCAAACTTTCCAGACTTCAACTAATTGATTTATTTAATCAAAACCATAATCACCTATAGCGTTACATTAAATCTATTGTTACAAGCCCTGGTTGTTGTGTATCATATCATAGAAAAATAGAATTAAATATGGACCAACAGCAGTGTTGCGTTTAGCATAAGTTCAGACGTCCACCACTGGGAGCACCGTGTCGTTGCGGCGCACGAGATACGTAGCTACACGGCGCTCCCAGTGGTGGACGCCAGAATTTAGGCTAACCGCAGCTCTGCTGTCGGTCTATATTTAATATACTCATCATATACTCACTTATCGTTGTCTGAGAAGGTTTTGCCACAGACATTGCAGGAGACTTCCTCGTCTTCATCAATCTCTTCGTCACAAGTACCAGAGTGTTGTGAAGCTGAAACAAAACCAGGAGGTCAGACTCAAGATGAAGAAATACTGATGTTGATTGAACATCATTTTTCAATTTATTGTATATTCAAAACATGTTAAATACCACTGAAGTAAACAAAATTTCATCGTGTGAAAGGGTGATGCACGAATATCGGCAATTGAGATTAAGGGGGTTGGCTAAACAAATATGTTTACTATATTAAAATTCGTGTAGCAATTAATAATCCTAATTTTCTAAGTATCGTACTTTTTAGCGTAGTTTTTTGTTTGTTTTTAAATTCGTCAATACAGTTGATTCAATGAGAAAATGTAACAAGGATTTACGAGGGTTTTAGTACCGTGAAAAAATTAGAAACGTCAAAGTGAAAAAGAAACTTTGGAATAAAATCCCATAGTCAACTATTTCAATACACTTATTGTTTAAAATTAACGCTTAAAATCTGAAATATTCTTTTATGATGTGCTGTAAAGAATCTCTATTGAAGAGAGTAAAATCAAAAAAGACAGTTTAATAGGGAGGAAGGTATACACAAATTTTAAAAGGGAAAATGCACAAAACGAGGGGTTTTTAAATTTCGAATAATAAGTGATGGTTTATCTTTTTTTATATAATTTAAATTCATAAATTCGTACCTCACTGTGTATTGTTAAAAGAAATTTGTTCCAATATTCGGCCACCAACCCAACTTATGTATCGATATATTGTTTACTATGTAAAGTATTATTAACTGATTATCCCCGATGCACTCTGATGAAGAGTGGGATGTATCGTATTAACGATGCATTATAAAAGTGTCGGTGTTTTGTTTGACGAGAGTAGGGGCGAGTCGCGAGTTACAAAGCCTGTGATCCATCACCTTCGGATGGTGCTGTTCTAGGACGCCATTTTTCACCCCTTCTTTCTTCGCACGACAATACACTAATGTTCATCAATATCCAAGGTTACCCTCAGTGTTCTTTGTACATTTTAAAGTGCTCGAGTCAATATTGACAAATTTCCTTGGTGACAGCCCATTGTTGGAATATGGGACGATGAAAAATAATTTGCCACCTTGCCCTTTTGCGGTGTCGATATCGGTATGTGGGTTTGCGGTTTTTAAATCACTGATATTTACTTTTATTTTAATATTTTCAATTGCTAGTCTTGTGATGGTGCAATAGGGTTCAAGAAAATTATTTTTGCATATGAATTTAGTGCATTTGGACCAGGCAATTTAATATAGGGATTTTAATATTACTGCTATTTGGTAATTATTTGATCATTTTCAATTACAAAAAATATGCAAAATCGTATTGTGTATATGGTTGATAAGAGACGAATTTAAAAAATCAAAGGGACATATGTAAAGAAGTCATGAAGTTAGCATAGGTTAGTTTAGTTTTGGGGTTTTGGGCTCTAATCTCTTATAGCGATCGAGTATTTCTCAACGAGTTTCCTCTTATATTATATTATATTACAGTTTCCTCCAGTATCTGGCCTTGGACAACCAAAGGTTTAAGCATTTTCACTGTTATTTCTTTCTCCAAAGTTTAAATCCTTAACACGTCAGTTTCTAACTTTAAGATGCTAGAAGACACCTTTTTGTCATTCTTATTGGTTCATACTTAAAAAAAAATACCATTATCAAAATCTGCTATAATCAATTAAAATCAAACTGTCCCGGTCATAATCATGTGAAACCGTTTCAACAAAACCTAACTACACCGATACAAGGACACTAATTTCTGTCTAAAACTAAATAATAAATAAATAATTTATGACATGCCTGGTCAGTAGTTCCACGCCTGTCCGCGACGTCGCTAGTGTCGGTAACCGCTGTGTCATCATAGTAGCATAAATCACACACGATTAATGGCTTCATGCACAAGTGTGGCCGAACTAGCGCTACGCCATGTCATATTTAATTACTGCTACACTCCGTGTTGTGGTAAAAATATATGAAATGCTACATACATTCGGGTTTTATAGTTAGGTGAATCTGAGTTATAATCTTCCCTAAAATGAGTTTGATTAATGAGTGCTACGTGTTTATTTGAAGATCATTTAATGCACATATCTATTTATTCGTACCGGCAATATTTGCTTATGCAGATAACATATTGTTTGTAAGTCTTAAATTTGCCTTGTTTGGTTTGTAAGGTAATGTGTTCAAATCACGTATCTATTGCACACAAACAAACTATGGAAATCTGTGCTGTGTTAACGTCGTTTTAGTAGACATAAAACTTTATTCTTATAAATATTATACATACGGTCAACTTCCTATGGATAAGTCATGTAAATATTCAATTTAAACCCCTTCGTTAACGTGTACTGCTGAGAATATGTTTCAAAATCAAAATTTAAAAAAAAATGTTACAATTACAGATGGAAGCTAGAAGACACATCCTAAATTTAGAAAGAACCTCTAGGAAAAACTCTTTAAAACAACATTTCAAAGATTTGTTCGTCCACAAAATTAAAAACTAATCCTTTTGCAATGGTTCCACTATGAGAACGTGTATCGTCTAATTGCTACCTAAAGCTTTACAAATTGAACCATTTAAGCTTGAATGTATTGTCAAGTACAGGCAAAAAAGGTATCCAAAATATTAAGGTATTTTAAAGATTCTTCACGAAATGTCCCTATTTTTTACCAACTGTCAGTTACAATTCCGCTATTTGTTTCACCGGCCGATTTGTTTCCTGGAAGTACGAAGTCTACTATTAAATCACTTCCTTTGACCGGACAGCCAACCCTTTACACCCCATCGAACCCGCCGTTGACCGTTCGTCTTTTTAACTGTTTCTGTGCGGTCTACAGTCTACAGGACATACGGTCTTCAATCACACAAATAGAGCTTATTTATGTTAGAGTAATATTTTAGAAACAACATTATCCTTTACACAACATAAGGGTTGGAAAATAAAAAAATATGCGAAATTTACAATACAATTAGTTTAACAAGACTTAGGTTTGCAGGAAGGGTAAAAATGTGTTTTTTGTTGTAAAATGTTAATAGTTTAGTAAGAAACGAATGTATTTTCCAAATTTGATCAAAATATGTTCATAAACAAGCAAACTACAACAGTTGACTTATTCTTCAAAAGAATAACATTTGAATTTTAAATTTACAATATTTTGGAATTTTCTCCGTAACTATTAGGCGCACAATAACGCGTCAATATACTAAATTATTTGTTTTTTTAAAGCTCTACAAAATGGTTTGCAAATAAATTGTGAAATGTTGTGTTTCTATTGTTAATTCACGTGGAAATGTGAAACCGCTACAACTCGTATGGTGGAGTTTTTATCACTTAGGCCACAGAAAACATACGGTTATAGTAGTATGTTTTCTGTGCTTAGGCTGTTGAAATTAACCTTAAACTTAATCGAATAAATTTAATGTATTGAACTATTTTAAAGTATTAGAAAAAAACAAGAGTAGAAAATTAAAAACACCCCTCTCGTAAACAATAAATCTTTTAAAAAGACGTTTTATACAGTCATCTGTAAAATATTAAATTTAGGATTTTATTATGAATAAACAGAGCAGTTTTGTATAGTTAGGTATGTGTATATAACTTTATTTTTTTTTCATTCAATAAATTCAGTTCTTTATTTTAAGAGGTTTGAACTAATATTTTGATCACGCGGTATTTTATTAACTATGAAAGTGCATTGTTAGGATAAAAAATGTTATTTCAATCCCATGACACCCCGATAGAACTATGTTACCTTTGATTATGAAATATATAATTTTGGGAAAGTCAACAAGCATGAAAGTAAAGCGCAATGTGCATATTTTTTACTGAAACAATACATATAAAATTGCAAAAATCTTAACATAAGTGCGATTCGTGACTCTTTTGCTTGGATAGTTTTTAAAATGTGGGGAAATTCTCATCCTTAAGGGATAGAAGCTAAGCAGATATGTATCGTTTACATAAATGATGTATTTTGTTGCGAGATTTTCAACACAAACGGATGAAAGTTAGCGAAACGTATTTTTTTTTTCTTGACTAATATTTATAATATTGTGAAGCTTCAATCTAATGGAACGAAAGTGTGACATGGTGTACCTTTTTGTTTGGATAATATTTATGGCATTGCAAAAGTCTCTACCTAATGGTACGAAAGTGAAGTGCAACGTGAATCTTGTTCTACGTAAACAATAACATTGTAAAAGTCTTATACTAAGTGCAATAAGTATCTTTTTGCTTGAATAAAATTTTTTCTAATATTGCGAAAGTCACCATCTAAAGTTATGAAAGTAAAGTGCGATGTACCAGTTTTGTGCTTTTACCTCTTATCCGGTGTCAGGTGAACTATGGACTGACACGGTAGATGTATCTGTGTGTATGACACGGTTTATGGTTTGGTCGGTGATTGGTCGCACCCCCTCCCCCACCCCTCCAGGGGGATGAGGGAGTTTCCGGAACGGAAAGACGCTCTTTTCCCGCCAAGCGGTGGAAATCGCGGGCACTTCACGTCGCGTCCCCCACGCGCTCTTAAGGGAGAAGTGAGTTTTAAATGTGTGTCACATTTTGAGGCTGTAATAGGGTAACTGTAACTAGTAAACACGTTGCTCAAAATCGAGCAATTGCAAAGAAGTAAAGTAGTTATTTAAAAACAAATAAAAGTCATCATAACTTCCGATGAGTTTAAAAGACTTTGAAATGAAAAATAACAGCAAGTAAAATATACAGCTGATCAAAATGTAAACAATCATGTTCTTCATAAGGATAACATGGGAACTTTAACAGCCACTGGGGCAGAGCCCAATGGACTTTTTCAAAAATGTAAGTCAGTTTGCAAATATACGCGTCACGCTCTTTCCAATGAGACGTCAATGGATAAAATCGGTTAAGAAATGGCGGAGGAGTTCAACCGACAAAGTTTCATGTAGCGTATTAATTATATAGAGATTTAATTGTATACGGTGTGATATAAATACATTATGTAAATATTTAGTTTAATTGCTTTATGCAAATAATTTACTTTAGTTTCAATTAAAAAAGTG